TGTATTATATTATGAGATTAATGGGTATCATATGTCATATGAGAGGATTCTCTCATATACAATAATGTGGCACAATCTCCACTAAGTGTATTTATGAGGCATTCTCTCTCCTACTTTATTCACTTGGTGGAGATTGTGCCACATCATTGTATATGAGGGAATCCTCTCATATGACATATGATACCCATTAGGGGCTGTTTGTTTGCAAAAATGGGAAGGGGAAAGCCTGCCAAATCTGACAAAAACTGTCAGTTTTGGCAGGCTTTCTTGCAAAAACGCCTCTAAAAGAGGCGTTTTTGCAAGAAAGCCTGCCAAAACTGACAGTTTTTGTTAGATTTGTCAGCTTTCCTCTAACTTTCTCCTTCAAAAAAAAATGAAACAAACGGGCAATTAATCTCTTATATTATATACACTATAGTATGTATTTATAAACCCTATGGTATGTAGCTATACCTGTAATAGTATGTTAGCTATACACCTATTGCATGTAACTATACAGTTTATATTCTACATTTTAGATTTAAAGATAAATGAACTTTGTCTTTTAAGCTTAGTTAGACTCATAGAAATCGAATCCAGGCACCCCCCACGAAAAGGGGCAACACGGCTTCGCCGTGTGAATTATATTGGTCCGCTCTTTATCCTTAATTTCATGTGTTATAAAAAGTACAGAACGGATAAATGGGTGGTACAACTCGTGTGAGCTCAATCATATAAAGCTCTCAAGAACAAACCCGTAATTAATTGTTCGACAAACTAAGACGAATATAAATGAGAAAATAGGATCTTTTTTTTTTTACGGTCTCCGTCATTTTTTTAAAGATCCGAATCCTCTCCAATCAAACGTTACAATAGCGACGAACACTGTCATCTGTTATCTCATGAGACTGAAAATGAAAGTGCTCGTCTTGTTATCAAAACAACGGTAGCACATAGAAAATTGACGGTAAGATGATCGATGTTGCTTTCTGGACTTTAAGACAGTTGAATCGTGTCGATAGTTCTAGGGCTAACTGCAAAGGAGCAAGAGATTGCGCATATGCATCCTAAAATAGCCAGTTCACAATTGTTTGTCCTTTTACACACCTTTGAACTCTAGGTTTAATTATTTAGCCACTGACAATCTGTTGACAGTTCCCTCCTTGAAAAGATGCTTCAACCTACTATCAATCTGACTGGGGACAAGCAAATGTGCAGGTTAAATTACATATCTAAATAGTACCAAATAACCTTCTACATATCAATTTCAGTATTTCTTTGCTTTCATATTTATCATGATAATGACCTCACCTACCATCATGTAAGGCGGTGTTTAGTTCACACATTTTGCAGAAAAGTTTTAGCTTGACAGTGTTAATTTTGTAATTAAAAAAATTCTGTAGTTTTCTATAAACTATGTTTGGTTCAAAAAAATTCATAGAAATGTTTTCTATAAAGGAGAGAAAAGTACTATATTTTATAAAAATCAACTTCCTCTCAAAATGAGGGGAAATTGGTGAGAAATCTGACGCATTGATTTAAATAATAGTTCTTGTATAAACTTATCCAGATTCACTTCTCAACTCATTTTCTATAAAGTTCATTTTTCCTCTTTTTGTATTTTGAAGCAAACAGAAAAAGAATAAAAAATAAGAAAACACCACTTTTTGAATTTCAATAAACTTCTCTTGTTATTTTTTATAGAAATACATTAAAATTTAATTTTTGGGTACTTTTCCTTTTCTTTTTTTACAGAAATTGAACCAAACTGCCCCCAAACATACTCACAAAGTAGTCACCATATAATTATTTTTTTAAGAAATTATTTTCGTAACAGTTCAGTCGTATAATCGCAGGCATACAGATAGTTTATATACCTGCTTATCTCTTTCTTTCTTCATTCAGTTTAAAGAATGAAATACGTATTTTCTTGTACTTTCATGCCTATTGAATGCACTTTCACGTTTGCAGAAAAATTACATTGATCTCTACCTTAATATAATACTATTTATAAAAGTGTGTTGCCATGTTAAAACATTTCTTCTTGCCAAATACACTCGAAGTTATGTTACAACACATACATGTATACATAAAACATATACATACATACATAAGTCATGCCTCTCCATATCGTTCTCATACAACTCCTAATTAACTAACATTTCATGTGTTTATTCTCACTACTATCATAATCATAAGAATCGTTACAACTGTTCATCTTCTAATAGCACAACTATAAATCCCAATAATTTATCATGCCCTTCACATCTTAAATCAAATTCTCGCTTAAAGATTTGTCTTTTTACTAGGTATTGCTTTAATTTTTGTGTTACTACTTCATTTTGTTTATTATTATTATATTTATTTCTAGAACGAAGATCAATTATTTCTCACATACGCTTCAGATTGACTTCCTTATAGTAGTTTTTTTCATTTTCTATTTCCACCCCCTATTGAAGCATATCTTTTCCCCCATGTCCTTTAATTTGTTCTTGGATGTTTCTCTTTACACGATCACATTTTTCTTTCTTTTTATACTTTTGCTAATCTAATAAGCTGACATCTTTTTGTTGGATGTGCATCAAGAAAATTTTGGGATCTAAATTGAAGTAACTAGAACTCTCATTTACCCTTACCTCCGAACTCTCATGAGAGTCCGGAGGTAAGGGTAAACTGATAACCATAATAGGAAAGAAGTAGAGAAAAAAAATATATAAAAAATAAAAAATAAAAAATAACAATATAAATATGAGTTCTAGTTTTTTACCACCTAGTTCCAAGCTAAAACTTGGAATAATTTAAGAGACTAGAACTCTCATTTTTGTATAGAAAAAAAAAATGGGACAATTTTGTACCATTATCCTAATTCTAGTTTTGTTAGAGTTCTACTTGACTAACACTATAAAATTTTGTTTTAGTTTTAGTTCTATGTGACTAACACCTTAAAAAATTTATCTCATAGATTATCCTAGTTCCAATTTTAAGTTCTAGGTGACTAACACCCCCTAAGAGACTTCAACAATTTGCAATTTGTTATAGAACAACCCTAAGAGTTTGTAAAATTTACAAAAAATAACCAAAAGACTTTTAGAAATTGCATTTGTTTTTTCAAAAAGTCTTCGAACTTACAAACACCCAAAATTCATCCATAACTTGCATAATTTACAGAAAAAATCCTAAAATTTGCATATCAGTTGAAAAGCAGTAAAATTATATTTTACAATAAGTATTATATTTACCCATCTTAATGCTAAAATTGTATTACGAATTTGCAAATAAAACCACGAGTATCTATAAAATTCAATGACATACATTATCTTAAATAATAAGTAAATAAAACTATCCTTTAGGTTTAAAAAAATAGAATTGTGCCTTTTGGGTATTCCAAAAATTGCAAATTTTTATAAAAAATCCTCAATTTTATAAAAACGGCAGGAATTAGTAAAATTTATAGGATTAACCTTAAAAATTTTGCCAAAAAAACCTATATCTTCATAATCTACAAAAAGAGCCCTAACCTTTCATATATTTACAGAAAGAACCCTATTACTTTATAAGATCTACAGATTAAACCCTTCAAAAATAAACCTCACAAATATTTATATGTAGTCTGGGGTTTTAATGATGAGAAAATTGCAAATAAGTCCTTAAGATTTCTCATAATTACATCCAAAATTAAACTTTTCCATAAATTATATATCTAATTGCATAAAATATTTTAGAAAATAAAATAAGTAGATCCACAAGCAACACATAGCCCTGTCCAAATGGGCTTTAGGCCCGGACCAGGTCGGGCCTGAACTCGTCCCGGACCCAGGCTCGGGCAAGGCCTAGAAAAGCCGGGTTCAATTTTTAGCAAAAAAAAAAAATTATAAAAAGTCTATCGAGAACGCTTAGGGGCTGTTTGGTTCTTTTTTTTGGGTGGTAAAAGTGGGGAAAGCTGTCAAAAATATCAGCTTTTTGGCAGCTTTCCCCTAAAATCACCCCTTAAAAAGGTGATTTTGGGGGAAAGTTACCAAAAAGCTGACATTTTTGACAGCTTTTTTTTCTTTTACCACCCATAAAAACCTATCCAAACAGCCCCTTAACAAAATATAAGATTCTTTCACAGAATCTTCTATTCAAGGAATCTTTAACCAAAAACCGTTGACTGAATCCATCATTCCCTTGGAAACTTCCTGTGTGCACCCACTCACGTTGGCAAGCCGGTCGCGCGTGGCACTCTCTCCCACGTCCATCCCTAAGCCCCCGTGAACCCCTCTCTCCCTTCGCACGTGTCGCTCTACAACTGTCGTCCCCTCGGTCCCCATCCCCACCGACCCGCGTCACGTGATTTTGCGTACGTGTCAGCATGCAGAACGCCGTCTCCTGACGCTTTAGCTTTACAGCGTGGACAGAAGTGCAAGAGGTACTTCCACCTATAAAAAATAATGATAGAGGCACACTTCCAACCACATTCCCTCTCTCTATAGTGATAGTGGGTCCTGCATGATATTTTTTAAAATATCATACCACTACCACTATAGAGAGAGGGAGTGTGGTTGAAGGTGTAGTTGGAGGTGTGCCCTTAGTGGGACTCACCTATAAATATCAGCACCTTTTGAGTTTCCTCCCAACACTTTTTCCTTTTTTGGTCTCTCCCTTGCACAGTATTCTCTCTTAATTATCGGGTTCGGTTAGGATCCGCAATGAAATCAGCTATACTAATCCGATCCGCATCGTTCCAAGCCCCGTCAAACATCCTAACCGGATCCCATAACTCAGGATCCGGAGCCTTCAATCTCCGCCGAAGCCGGAGCTTCAGCATGTCTCCTAAATCCGCGATCAACGTCGACGTCAAAATGAGAAAGGAGTCAACGATACGTCGAGCTAGATCCGACACGGATCTGATCGTAACGGATCGGCCGAGTCGGATCTGGTCACCCCCCGCTAGAGTACCGGAGGAGGAAGAGGATGCAGATCTAGATCGCGAGATCCTTAGAGGATTGGCGG